TGTTTGATATTGGATTGCAATCACAGAATCACAGAATCGTTTAGGTTGGATGGGACCTCTGGAGATCATCTAGTCCAACCTCCCTGCTCAAGCAGGGTCACCTAGAGCATATTGCCCAGGATCACATCCAGACGGGTTTTGAATATCTCCGGCGAAGGAGACTCCACTACCTCTCTGGACAACCTGTTCCAATGTTCCAATCATAGTTTCAACTTCCAATCTTCAATTTAGATAGGACCCAGTTTCTCCACTAGTCTCCAGTGGGGCTGGTAATGGCCGGGCTGGGAAACCCCCCCTCCCAAATGAGGCCCATCCAAAATGCCCTGGGGATAGTCCTGCCTCAGGCTCTTCCTGAGGTTATTGCTCTTGCACTGGTTGAATCCTTCCTTGGGCACCAGAGCTTTTGCTTTTTAGGGTGTGCAGAAGTCTCTGACTGTCCTGATCTGAGGCTTTGAGCAATCTCTAAACACTAAACCAGCCCAGCATGGAGCTAGCAGTTTGTGGGTTTGAAACAAGATGTTCCTCTAGTCTGATAAAATTACGAGTGACCCAGAAAAACTCTCTTTCCGTCAGCAGAACTGCCAGGGAAGGAGCAGGGCATTTGATGAATTATGAAACGCTTGAAAGTGAAATACTGTGTAGACAGCTGCTGAATATTTCATTCCCTTTTGCCTGGCTCTTGCCTGCCAGGGGGAGTGGATTGGGAGGGGCCCAAGGAAGGAGACCTTTATCCCAAGCATAACACAGATGCATCTTTCTAATAATTCATACGCTTACCTACAAGCTGAGCCCTGGCCTCGGGTCTGCCAGAGGAGCTGGGGAAGGCAGAGGCAAGGCACACAAGACAGGCTGAAGAGCTTACAAAGATATGCTAAGAAGATGATGGCAGCGACTACATCTCACCATCTTCCCAGGAGACAGGAGCATCTGCTCTTTGTGTGTTTGCCGGGGTCCAGATATTGCAGCTGGGGAGAAATTGTCATATAGGGCTAGCTAGAACTGGCTCGAAGATACCTGCTTTTATCTTCTCCTTGCTATAGCAACAGACTGCAATTATGAGCACTCAAAGGCAGCGTGTGCTTTCAACTGCAGCTCAGCTGGAGAGACTACAGAAGCGCCGGGGCCAGATACGATGTTGCTCTAATCTTTAGAGTTCTCTCAAGTGACCTTGTCCCAGACAGGAGACAGCACTGAAGCAGGTCACAGAAGCAGGGCATGTCTGGCAGGTTGGCTCATGTTGTTAGGAAGGGACCCCTGTGCCCTGTCCCAACACCATCCACTAGCAGGGGTTTAGAGGAAGCAGAAAGGGTGTCAGGAGAACCCCTTCTCCCCCCAGTATATTCTCTCAGCTTTGGCTTTAGGTGTTTCCTATGAAATACAGTTCCCTGGCGGCAAAAATTCATTGCAAAGTTTTGTCATTACTCTTTTAAGACTAATGCCTCAGTTACTTCTTTGAGGGTCAACATCACCAGCCATCATCTGAAACTACCAAAACCACTGTACAAAACTAGTCCCTTAATTGCCTAGTGCCTAAGCATGTAACCTAAAAGGAGAGGTGCAGGGATCTGGGTTTCTTTGGTCTGGTGATGAGGCAGCTCAGGGACCATCTAGCAACAACCTACAGCTACTTGAAGGGGAGTGTCAAAGATAACAGTAGTGACAGATGAAATATTAAGGGGCAATGAGCACAATCTGTGGCTTGGGACGTTCAGGCTGAACATTAGGAAAAAGTATTTTCCCAGGAGGGTGGTACAGTCCTGGGAAAGGTCAGCAACGAGGCTAGGGATCTCCATCCATGGAGGTTTTAAAGATGTGGCTAGATAAAGCCATGGGCAACCTCATCTAGAGTTGGTGATGGTCTTATCCAGCATAGGAAGTCCCTTCCAGACAACAGTTCTCTGATTCTGACATATTGACCCTTGGACAAAAAGATCTGTGGCCTGCTATGAGATCCCTAAGGAAAAATTCAGCTCAGTATTGATTTGTTGCTGAAACAGCAGCTGTGAATATTGGGCTGCAGGAGATTTCAAATGGGAAATGAAGATGTGTTCGGGCTGTGAGAAATGAGTGCAGGCAGATTCCTAACCCCTTGCAATTGCAAAATAAAGCAAGATAGCTTGAAACCATTTTAGAGCAAACTCTGAAGCTTAAATGGCAAGCAGAAATGCCCAAAGCTCTGGTAGTCTTACAGTTGCTTATCCTACCTCCCTCAGTCTGAGGGTACTGAAGTGGGGGGTTGATTGCAGTCTCATGTTAAGTATCCTGAAGTCAACTTTTCTAGAGCATTAAATTGTACAAAGGACAATTGTGTACTCTGGAGAAGGAGCATCCCCTGTCTTGAAACTACATCTCTTCCTTGAGGGATAACTCAATAAACCACAGCAAGCTAGGAGGGAGTTTAAGTCCAGGGTAAATTCTCCAGAAATCAGGTTAATTTCAGGTTCCTCCATTTCATTCTGCACTGCCCATCGTGCTAGTGAAGACTTCTCATGGCTGAGGTGTGTTCCCACTCATAGCCACATCTGCTGTTGCTGTATCTCTGCAAGATGCTTCCTGCTCCTTCAGCAGCCCACGCTCGGGCAAAATTCACCTATGGGCCAAAGGTACTTAGGTCCACTTGGATCTAAGTGAAGCAGTGGAGCTGTCACCAAACTTTAGCCTCTGCCTCATGAGCTGTGCAGCATTTCCAGAGGACTGCCTTTATATAATGTGCCACCTGCAAACAGGTTAAATACTGACTCCTACAAATACATATAAGAGTGAGCACTGCACAGGGCATTACCAGCTGCGCCTCACAATCCTACACAAACAAATCTAACTAGTCAGCAAGCATACTAAAATAACTTGATTTTAGAGCTCAGGTTACGAGAGTAAACCATACAAACCTGACTTCTCTGAAAAGCCACCTGCTGAAATCAAATCCAGCCATGAGCAGAGAACAGCCTTCCAGAGCCCTACGACAGAGTCTGAGACCAAATCTTGAGAAATAAAATGTTTCCAAAAACAACACAGGGCTGCTAGTCTTGCAAACAGAGAATCACATTATTTGGCAAACCCTGACATCCAGGCTGATACAGCATCCTTTTTCCCTGATGAGCCCATTCTGAAAGAAGATGTAGTAGGTCTCCCTGGGAGGTGATGATGCATTATTCATTTTGCATGAAGCACTGTGAAATACACAAAGAAAAGTTGTTCATGTTTGGTGGCCTGCACGGCATCTTGAGCACAGGGTTAAAAGAGCTTAATGCTAGGGTCTGCCTGTGCGCACAGCATGGGAGCTAAGGTGAAGGGGTGAACATCCTGCAGGGTGCTCGCCTGGTTGGTGAGCAGGAGCTGGGAAGGACCCCATACCTGTACAGGTCTGCTGTGGCTGGACTCCTTCACTTCTGAAGCATCACACGCAGCTGCAGCAAGCTAAAGCAGGGACCATTAGAGACCACTGCTGTAAAGAAGGATTCCTCTGCTGCTACAACTCAGATAGAGCTAGGCAAGTGGATGAGAAACAGTAACGTGTATAATTTTTTTCCCTCAGGGAGTTTATTAAGGTGTCACCCTCCGGGGCAGGTCATTTGGTCAGTGGTAATGGAGCAACTACACTGCACAGTCTGATTTCTGTTCTCTTATGAGTGGAACAGCCAAGGCAGTAATGTCTAATCCCCACATAACACAGTATAACACATAACCAGTGCAAGAAACGGCCGTTCCCTGTGGGTGGGGAAGGAGAAGGAGAGGGCTGGCAGAGGCAGGATGGAGATGACTCCAGCCGCTGTGTCAGTGAAAATTCCAGGGAGCTGTGCAGGGCTGAGCAGACCCTGCTTTTCCAGCCAGCCCCATGCTGTGGTTCAGAGGGTGACTCAAAGCATAACATGACAGCTTGAGAGTTGGGAAAGACATGGTCCATCCTCAGCTCTGCCACAGACTCTATGTGACATGGGGCAAGGCTGATAACCCTTGGGTTTCCAAGGTGCTCTGTCTCTCTGGAGGGCGGTGAATATAGACACAGCATCAAGTGTTTGGATTAAGCAGTGACAGAGACAGGACAGGAGCCTTCTATATACCCCAGCATAGCATTGTGAGTACTTATCTCTCTCTCTGAAGTGACATGTTGATAAATCAGCATTGCAATGAGTAAGTGATGCCCTAAGGTTTGCAAGGAAGTCATTTAATCAGCAACAGCTTTCTCCCTGACCCCAGCTAGAAGAACACTGCAAAATTATTCCTGGTGTGCCCTGTAATATCTTTGCTGTGGTCTGGGATTACAATGCTGGCAATAACTTGTAAGGCAGATCACATAAGGCAACAATTCACTGTTCCAGGGCTTTTGCTTTGCCAAAAGTCACTTGTTGATTCATAGCTGGCTCTTTTTTTCAGGCTGACTTAGCCCAGTCTGGGAAGGTCTCTTTGGTGGAACACCAGAACATGAAGAACATAAAGCCACAGCTCCTTGACAAGCTGTGAGCTGGCGAATAAGTAATGACTTCTATTAGAGAGCACCAGGCTTCTCTGCTCTCTGTGGCATCCTTTCTGGCCTTTAATTTAATGAATGTGGCTGCATTTAGCTGCACATGGTGCTGCACTCCCTGGTGGCTACAGCCGCACACTGCAGTGAGCCACAAAGAGCAATTAGAAGCCTACATCCTGCTAATTTTGGGGGAATTTAGGTGGTGGTCAGATGCTCGTGGGAGAACTGGCCATGCTGGTTGGAAGATGTCATATGTCTGCACCTCAGCCTCAGCATTCGTCCTGGTCCATGGCAGGAATCACCACTACCTGCAGCAGGTCCTGTGGGATGTGAACCCTCTTCATCCATTTCTGAGCTGCAGCTCCTTGGCCCAGCACCAGTTCTACATCTCATGTCTACATCCTCACAAGGCCAATGGGAAGGGAAAATGCTCATACACCCTCTGTTGACTTGGCTAGCAAAGCCCTTTCCCAGTAGGAATGGATGCTGGTGGGGGCTCACAACAGCTCATTTGACCCTTCTCTTCTCTGCTCTATAGGCTCATTGGCACTTTCCGGATGGTCCTGCAGAAAGTGGTGGAGGAAGGGCAGCTAGAAGTGACAGACACACTCATAGATGACAATAATTCAGCCATTCAGGTAGGTCATGAGGAATACATGGCTACTGCTGCCTTTCAGTAAGTGGCCCATTTCTCTGGTTGTCTCTCTGCTGACTCTCTGAGGGAACAGTCACGTATGTGTCTGTGTGATGCACCTGAATCCCCAAATCCTCTTGCCTTTTCTCCATCCCATTACTCTTGGCCTGAAGGCCAAAGGCAGCTGGGACTTTTCTGTGGGTGGCACAGTAGAAGCTGGCTATACTGCACGCAGTGAGGAGACGAGAGCGTGGGGTAGGGGTGCAGACAGGAATCGGTCAGGCCTGCATGCCCTTAATGCTTGATTTGCATACAGATAAGGTGCAATTGTTTATGCACAGCTTGGAAATAGCCTGTCAAAGTCCTACTACGGGAGACCTGTGATAGCTCAGAGCACAACATGCTCTTCAGATCCCAGCAGAGAAGCTGAGCAACTGCTCTGTGTGTTCCCACTGCTCTTGCTCCTGAGCAATCCCGTGAGGGCTCTGCCCTAGCCTCTAGTATATTTAATCCTGACTCACCCCACATTGCCTCTAACGCCTACTAGACCCAGACAGCCTCTGCCCCCAAGCAACCCTCTCTTTTTGTGATGAAACTTGTGTGTGTCTGTTCCTGGCCAGTCCCATTCTGCCATGCCCCCTTCAGTACTACTGGTTATTTGAAATGATCTACACTTACAATGTTTGTCTCTGTCCCCTGGTAATACCTTTATCTGACCCCTACGGCTCATAGCAAATGAGCAATATCTCATACGGCAGCTGGCTGGCCTAAAGTCCTGTTCTTTATACTCGCAGGGAGAAGGTCAGGGTTAGGCATACCTGCAGGGAGACTCGTCTTGCAGACAGCCCTGCCCAAGTACCTAGGAAAGCAGCTGGCAGAGTGTCTTGTTTGCCATCAGCTGTGTGACATTGCTAATATGTGGCTTGGTGACTGTGTGGTCTCTGTTGGGAGCTTTGGCAAGGACAAGGCTTCCCACTCTGTTCAAGTCCTCACCCCTTGCCTGGAGCCCCCGATACCGAGGAAAAGATTCCCTATCTGCACATGAGCTGCTGTATAACTCAGTGTTTTTCAAATCTAGTTAGCACTTCTCATGGGAACTGTTTCCAATGGCAATTGAGTTTTATAACACACTTGGAAATACGGCTACTTCTAATCTTCTTGTATATCAAACCCCTGGTGTTTTCATTAAAAAAATAAAAACTCAAACAGCCCCTTCCTGCCCCTGCACACCAGCACTTTCCTGTTCCATCAAAAGCTTCTTCCTAGGCTCAGCATAAAAGAAATGTGCAATTGTATATAACCCTCTGTGCTAACAACAGGCAATTAGCAATGAAAAGACTAGTGGTTTCATTAGTAGGAGTCAGGAGATGACTTCTCCCGTCGGTAGAGAGGGAAGGAAACCAATAAAAGTACAAGGAATCTAGCTCTGAGGAGGGGGAAAAAATGCAGAAAATGCAGACCCAAGACGTGAAGATGATTTCAGGACCGGAGAAGATGTCCCCTGGTGAGATGTGCAAGCCCCTTCTGCTTGGTTTATCAGAAAGGAGACTGAGAAGTAGCCTGACTGAAGTCCATGGGAATCTCCTAGGGAAGAAAAATCCCATGTTTTCAAGACCCTTCAGCGTAGCAGGGAGGCACAGGAAAATCAATAGCTGGAAATTAAATCCAGTCAAGATCTTAATGCTGAGGAGAAAGGACCTTTAGAATGAACTAGCCTAGGACCAAGATCTGTATTTTCTGGTGTCCTGTAGCCTGGCCAGGAGCTTGGTGTATGTTGCACCGTACATCAGAGCAAATGATCTGTTATCCTTCACAAAGCTGTGCATGTCTAACTAGAGGAACCTGGAAGGCAAATGACCTTCCCCCAGCCCATACCTGATGTACTAGATAACCTGTGCTCATCACATCCCTTCTGAGGGTCTTGGGTTCCTCATCTGTAACATAGGGCCAAAAATACTGCTATGTCTTCTCTGTGTCATTACAGCTCTGCTGAGACTTTTGTCAGTTGGTATCTGCAGAATGCTCTGGAAAATGAAAATACTGCGAGTTGTGTATTGCTACAAAATTGGGGCAGCCCAGGGAACGCAGATTTTACAAGAGGGATCTCCCTTGGGTAACACAATAAATCCCCACATGTTCTCCACCTCCTCAAGCTGTACGCAGACACATGCACAAATCTTGGGTTTCTAGTACTTGCTTTGGGAATTAATGCCACATCCCTCTATTTCCCCTCCATTTCTGGGACACATTTCTGCATCTTAGCCCCAGATCACCCCTGCTTTACCTGGAGTTGGTAGATAAAGGTGAGTGTTTACAAACACTCTGTGCTTTTAGCAGGATTTTAGAGACCTTCTCCCATGCTGTATCCATAGCAACTTCAGGGACAGAGAGACAACTTGGCTTCATAAACTCTCTCTCCAAACCATGCTTTCCCAATCTTTGCTCCAGCAAGGTGGTTATTTCAGACTGAGGAAACCCCAGGAACAGAATCCAGAGGGCAACGCCTGGAGTATTTTGCGTGGAGAAATGTTAGTGGAGCTATACATCAGGAAGAGCTCCTGATGGGCAAGAGTCATCTCTACTAGAAAGGTGACCCACGTTCTCCTGGCCTTGAGAGCTGCTGTTTCTTTTATTGGGTGTAGGATTGGGCCACATCTGTTAAGGGGCTGTTGCAAGCGGAGAGAAGGCAGGGGCCTGAAGAATGAGTAGCCATTATTAAGAAGCAGAGATGGACAAGGATGGGAAGTCACTGCCCGCCAGCCAGGATAACTGCCCATCTGAACTCTGGGACCTTGGAGATGTGAAGGAAAAGGGTTTTGCTTGGAAGGAGCATGCCCCCCATGTTGAGCAAACTGGAAAAGAAGTTATATGCCAAGATTGCAAAAGAACCCTCAGAAGTAGGCAAGAAAGCAATGTCCTTCAATCCTCTCTCTACAAACTTTGCCTCCCTCAGATCCCTAAAACCTGTGGTTTTAAGGGCATGTTTCCTCGGCAACGGCACCTGAGCAAGATCTGGAGCTCTCTTGTGCCAGGTAGACACATCTTCAGTTTATCAAAATCACAGTGGAGGACAGGGAGGTGCACGCAGCGTATGGGGCAGGGTAATTCCTCTTGCTCCGTGCCTCCCCTTCCCCATTGATAACATGAGAAGAGCATCCAGGAGTCTTCTGATAAAGAGGAAATCTTTTTAACAAACATGAGAGCCTGCATTCACCCTTCCACATTACACGTCTATGTGACTTGGTGTTCGTGTGTGCTGCCATAGTCTGCAGAGACAGCAATCACCTCCGGAGGGTGATTCAGACCCTAAATGTGGGGACTGGCCCTGGACAACAGGCAGAGCCTAATGCCACGGGCTCCCGGGCATGTGAGCTGCTTTGCATGGAAATGTTTGTGCTGCTCACCCTTTTCCAGCTTTTGTCTGAAGATAGCACCAGCAATAACATCTAGGGGTTTGGAAGGGCTGTTTCTAAAAATGGGCGTTTTCTGGCCAGAGAGGGAGATGTGTCTTTTCTTCACTGCAGGCATTTCTTGGAAAGTAATTTCCAGGCATAGCTTCATCGTTCTGTAATCAAACACAAAGAAAAGGTTGAAAATTGTTCTCCGTTTTCTGTGCTGACTGCACAACGTCACTGGCAGCTTTCAGCCACCTCTAATAACACTATTGATTGCCTTAGTAAAGCGTTTAAAAGATTCAGGAATTATAAAACCAGAAGGGATATTAGAAACAGGTAATCTGCCCTCGTACACTGGAGGCTCTGGGAAGTCTCAGAATTTATTACTATTTAAACTTGTGGAAAAGACAAATAACAATGATTTTAAAACATCCAGTGACAGGGGAATCCATCAGCCCTTAGTTAACCATTCTACCGGTTAATTTTCTTCACTATTTAAAATAAGTTTTGTTTACACTATGAATTTCTCTTGGTTTCAGCTTACAGCTGTTACTTCCCCCCAAACAAGTGACAGTTTTATTCAGCCCAAAACAAAATGTACCATTTTATTGGACCTATAACTTTCCATTTCTTTTTATAGGTTTTTTAACATTAAAATATTGTTAAACATGAGATTTCAAAATAAAGTATTTCACAACAGTCTTGAAGTGGTTTGAATATGTGAAAATTAATGGTTCAACACAGATCTTTTTCTCTCCTTTATATTTTCTTTTTAAAACTAGCCGAAACAGCTTGGTGAGGTCAGCACAGTGTGGCAAATCGTTTTGATTGACTCAAATTTCTATTTTGCACTACACAGAACAAAATCAATCAAAACCTTCCCCAAAGCTCTGTTTCCAACTGTGTTTGAGTCACTTCTTAACTTTCATTTGTTAAACGCACTAAATTCCTTGAGTTCATATCTCATATTTTCCAACCTTTCAAAATACCTGTGACAAACTGTGGTTAGACAGAGTCAGGATACTATGTCTCCTCTGAAAAACATAGATGAAAAAGAGAATATTTTTTGCAACTTTTCCTGCTCCTGGCTTGTTTGCCTTTTCATCACTTCCCAAAAGTTGACTCCTAAATGGATATTAATCATGAAAATTTCTGTATATCCAAAAATAGCCTTGAGTCACAGAGCTGGAAAGGAGCACTAACCCACCTTCCCCAAGGCAGGATCAATTCCACCCATTTCTCCCAGAGATGTATCTTACCTGCTCTTTAAAACCTTCTGTGACAATCACCCATTTTCCCTGGACAGTTGAGCCTGGTGCCAGGAAAGTTTTGCCCCTGCGTCTAAAATCAATCTCCTTTGCATCAGATATAACCTCTAATTTCTCAGTTGAAGCTGAATGGAGATGGGCACAGCCAGCCAAGTAGCAGCGCACGGCCCTGGCACTGGTTGATTTATTGCTATAGCAGCTGAAGGGAAGGAGTCTGGGAAACCACAGGGCTCCTTCAGCTGCCAAATGGGAGCAAGATGAGCTGCAGCGACCAGATTTGGCACCGCAGCCCTTGACAGCACTGCACAAATTCTTAACAAAATGATGCACCACAGGAGGGAAAAAAAAAAAAGCACCAACATAAGTTGTCATCATCAGCTCTTGGTGCCTTCAACTGCTTGGTGGGAGCCTGGAGGAGGTGGTTTAATGCAACACAAGTTAGTGGGCTGGGCAGAGAGGTAATTCAGATATTACACTGTCAGATTTTCCTGCTTGCCCACATACAGGCAGGGCTGTGTCTGGAGTGTGGCTCTGCAGCTCAGGGGCCTTTGGTGTCACTCATATCTGATGCAGCTGTTCTGGGATGCACCAGCAACACCAGGCGTATGGGGTCCCTGAGCAGGAGAGAGGATGCAGTGCAGTCAGACCACTTCCTGGGGCCTCATTTCCAGCAGGATGGAGCTGGAGGTTTGCTCTCAGATACCACTGGGAGAGAAGAGACTTGGGGTGGTGAGGCAGCAGGGACCTCCAGCTCCAGCTCCAGCTCCAGCTTGTGATGTGCAGGTCAAACCAATTGATGCAACAGCCCCTCTTGCCTTTCAGGTCTTGGCAGGACCCGCCTTCCTCTCTGTGTTACATTGCGCTGCACTCATGGGCTGAACATGTCTTCGTTGTGTGTTGCAGACCAGCATCTCCATAGAGGTCAGGTACCAGGCCATGGACGGCACGGTGGGTGCGTGGAACGACAAAGAATTCCTGGAGATCCCGAGCCTCCAGTCAGAGGGGGACAGCAGGTATCCGTTAGAGACAGACAGCCTCCTCTCCAGCCACAGGCAGGGCTCGGCCATGTCTCCGAGCAAATCCAACCAGCAGTCTGCAGAGAGGAGCTTCAGGAGGTAATGTGAAAAATAAATGCTTGAAGGCATGTGATGGCAGATGAGCTGGGGAGGGGTTGACTGCAGGTCTGTTCTTGTCTTGGGGCCTGTGGGCTGGATTTGCTTTTCCAGCTGGACCAAGCCAGACTGTGCCTCAAGACACTACTCCTCTCTTGCAGAGGAATTATGCCTGAGAAAAAAATTAACTCAGCAATCTCCTTCCAGGTTTTCTTCCTCCTCCCTGTAAGTAATGCCTTATTTTAAGAAGAAGGGGGTCTGCCTCCCACACATATGGCGGTGTGCAGCATGCAGTGGAGGAGGTTGGATTTCGAATGTAATTAAGTACAGATTTAGAGAGGATTAAGGGTCTGGCTTTTGGCTCATATTGGATGGGATTAGAACCATTTGCAGATGTGTGGTGGGGTCTCGCACGTCGGAGGAGCTTGTGATACCACCAGGAGTCAGCTGCCTTTGGTGCAGAAGGATGGAGGTGTGCCACATGGGGTGGGTCCAGGGGAAAAGGACAGGTTGGCAACAAGGCCACACCACTGCGGTTGTTCCTGGGGTAGAAGGTCACAGTGCCTCTGACAGGTGACCATTTTCTGGGGGGCATTACAAGTGCTCACATTGCATGGCAAGGCAAAGGGCATGGCAAAGGCTGGAAGAGAAACCACAGAGACTGTGGCACAAAGGAGGGGATGAGCCCTTGCAACTTCCTTTAAACATTAATCCTGGAACAGGAGCGCTGAATTTCTCAAAGATATTTGCAAAGCTTCCTCCACAGTGGTCTACTGGGACCTCTGTACCCCACCAGGCTTAAATGAAATCACATACCAAACCCAATGCCTGAGCATGAAAGCTGTGTTTGGATTAGCTGAGAGGCCCTTTATGCTGCGATGGCAGGTGGAGACACCGCCAGTCCCCCTAAGGGATGCTGTCACCAGGTTTCTATCAATTTAAGGATCCTTAGCATCATCTTCGTGTCTTCTAAGCTCATGGGACGTTACACCAGATGGAAACAAGATAAGAGAATGTCTTCTTCCATATCCTGACATAGAGCTGCTGTAACCATTTCCAAACCCTGCCTATGGACTTGGATGGGTGGACAGGGCTCAGGACTGGGAAAGCTGCAATTGGCTGCCCATCAGGATGATGTGCAAATTGGGACCAGTTCTGCCATAAACTGTTTCTTATGGGTGCTCAGGTCTCAGTGTAGAGGAACAAACACCAACCATAAGGCCAGGATGGACACTGAGGCCAGAGCACTGCAAATACAGTGAGGCTGGGCCAGATTCAGCCCATCCCATCACAGGTGCTCTGAATCTGGTGCTCAAATCGTCTCCTAGCTCATCAGATAACAGAACAGTTTTGCAAGTATAAAATCACTTGTGCATAAATATATTGGGGTGGTGGGCTGCTAAGACAGATTTTCAGGCTGCTTTCCAAAGTTTATGTAGTTGTGTTGTTTGTGGCATCGAGTTTTCTGTCTAACTCCACTCCAGTAGCTCTTGTAGCCATTGACCTCTTTCAGCTGGAAGAGTAGAGACCTCAAAGTTCTGAACACGTTAGAAGTCATATGGAAACAGATGACCTGGTAGAGGAGAGAGTCTGTAAATGAGGAAAACACTGCTGTGTGTACTTAGCCCTGGTCAGGCATTTGCTCTGCCCTGGCTGGCTTTCCTGAGGCTGTTGCAAAATGGCCAAATGCCCCACGATCTTTCCTGCAGCCTCTGGGAGCAGAAGAGGACAATGACATTCGCAGGCCCTGCCTGCCTGCTGACAGATGTGATGGGCTGGACAGGCCGTGTGCCCAGGGGACTCAGGCAAGGTATCACAGCTGGGGCCTCAGATCACCCAAAAATCTCCCGAGACCAGCACAGCCTCTGCTGAGGATTGCAGTCAAACTGCTTGCAAGCAGCTGGTGCGGACCTTCCCTTGGACTCTCCAAAGGTAGACAACCCTTGCCTTAGCAAATCTACATGGGAGCCCAGCCTAGAGATGTAAATCCAGACATGTCCACAGGATTCAGCTGTGTTTTTTAAAGGCATTTGCATCTCAGGAGCTGCTGCAGCCACATATCTCCCAGTCTGGGTTTATGTGCTTTCGTGCTTCGGTGGTATTTGCTTTCTGTCTGTGCTTAGCATTTTATTGTGGCCACATAAGGGCAACATTTCTTTTTCCCCACAGTGCGAGTCTGAGGGAAGATATCCCCAGTCACTCACATATCTCCTAGGCAGTTAATTAACTGTGTGAATTGGGCTGAAACATGTGAATTTTCAGGCAGATTGAAAATGCAGATTCATTTCCCAGCTCAGTGGACTGTGATGTTGCCAAACAGGGAAGGTGCTAAAGGTCTTAAAAGGAGGATCACATGGCAGTTTACTAGGCACAGCCCCATTCACAGAGACATCCCATAGCAGGGTCAAATCCTTCCAGGACCCCCTAGCATCTGTCCTTCTGGCACAGTGGGATTCAATCTGCCTGTTAGCCCTATATCTTAGGAAATCAGCATCCTATCTGCACTGCATGGACTTTCAAGATGTGATGTGACTCTGATCACTTTATGCATGCTGAAGATCTAATTAACCCTGTCAGTAGAGTTGCGTGGCAGATACTTCACCTGTGGCAGACACCTGCAGTTGGTCAGATGAATTGTTCTTAAAGGCTGGATCTCCAGGGACTGCAAAGTAAGATGACCAACTCCCTTGGAGGCCACAGTTGGCCTGACAGATCCCACCCTGGTGCACTTTTCTAAGACAAAGCATGCGGTTTGCTGAGCACTCCCATCTGTCTGCACTGATGCACGTTGTGGCTGAAGGTCACTCAGCTGCACTTTGTGCTGGCTGCATTGGACAGTGCTGACCCAAAGGGCTTTTTGAGGTGGGTTTGTATGCAGTCAGTAAAAAATGCTTCCCAGTGAGGAGTGAAAGCAAACGCAACAGTTTATAAACAGGCATCAGGCATATTTGGAAGTTCAATTCCACTGTGGCACTAATCCTCATGCTGGATTTCCTCCACAGGTCAGTCCTCTTAGCAGATGTGAGAGTGGTTCTTGATGGTCACAGTAAAGCAAAAGTCTCTTGATATTTGGCTTCAGTTTCTCCTTCAGTTCCACAATGCTTAAAAATAATGTAAGCGAGCTAATAAACAAACGCTTTTTAGGGAGAGCAGGAAGGAGCATCTCTTAACAGACACCCAAAAAGAGCAAGACATGCTATTTTAACTATCCCAAGCAAGTGGGGCACATGAAAAATTGCGCTAAAGCTCAGAGATGTCCTAGGGTTTTGCCTGCTGCCTTTGCTTTGAGGAAACTCCCCGTGTCCTCTGGTTTGGAGACTTGTCGCACAGCAGATCGTTTTGAGTGCAGTGGGTCTGGCAGGCTTCACTGCATCTTGCTGTCCTCCACTCACCCTTTCCACCCCCAAGGGCCATGGCTGTTAACGTCGCCACCATTAATGTTACGAATATTGAGGAGGCAAAGCCAAAAGGTCTAATATTTTCTGTGTCACCACCCTCGCAGGATGGAAGAGGACGAGATGTATTACCACAGTGAAGATGAGCTTCTGGGAGAGGGGGACACTCTTAGCCAGGGATCCCTCAACATGAGGTAGGGAGCCAGCCAACATCAACTTGTGCTGGTGGCAGTGGGTTTTGCAGTGCTGTGTTGCTCCTGCCATGTCCCTGTGCACAAGCATTGCCCCTGGCTTCCCATTTCTCAGCTGCAAGAGAGCTAGGAGGGAGCAGTGATGAAGCTGCTGTTAAAGCACCCTTGCAAGGATACTCAGCCCCAGGGAGAGGTGCTGGGATCCAGGATGGAGAAAAAGCTTTGGGATGAGGCTGCAGTCAGGGTGCTCTCTTTTCTGTGAGGCCTCCTTCCTTCTCCAGGTCCCACCACCTACCAGGCACAGTTGTCCCCAGATTCAGAGGTCAGTCATGGCCAGTGTGTGGTGAAGAGCCCTTTGATATCACAACCTGGCTATGGGGGCATTGGAACCAGGGACTCCTGAGGTGTTGGAGATCAGAGGGGCAGGTGATGAGCTAAGGACTGGGGTGAGCCCAAACTCACCACTGCCTCCAAGTCTCCCCGGGTTAACTGATGGTGAGGCCAAGGGCCAGGTGCCTGTGGGAGGTCTCCCGAGGCCTTGCTGGGATTTCTCCTGCCCTCCGGGGCTGTCAGCATCAGCCCTGGCTACAAAGAAAGTTGTCAGTCAAGGCTGTCAAACTGGTCACTCCATCTGATTATGCACCCTCACAAATTCATTAAATGGGTTTCTCTTCCATTGGTCTGCTGAGGAAGCACATGCACACCAGTCCAGCTCATGGCTCTTGCAAGGTTGGATGGCCCTCCTTTAAATTCTTGCCTCATATGATTCCTAGCTTTCCTGGGGAAAGTGTCTCCATTTCCAGACCTGTTCTCCCCTCTGCAATAGCGCATGTCTGCACACAGACAGGGTCCTTCCCTTCCTGTGATATGCATGAGGATTTGACTCTTTGCAGTGGCTTTCTCTGCAGTGCAGTGCTGTGAATTTGTTTCCCCACCATGTGCCAGATAAAATTTTGGGAGGAATTGCACCAAAGAAAAATTCAGGTAAAATACAGGGACCAACCTGATGCTTCTGAGAGCTACCTGGCACTGTGTGAGCCGTCACTCCTTGCTTTGCACAGATTCTCCCGGTGCAATGCTGTCCACCTCCTGTGGTGCAAGGGCAGGACAGCACTGCTGGGCTCCAGGGACTGGAGTGGGCAGCCCTGCTGGGCTGGGTTGTGGCACACAAGCCTGTATCTTTGGACATGGTCAAACAAAGGAAGCCAGAGCATTAAGTTCAAATCCAGGGACAGCTCCCACTTTGCCATTGCGGGTTGGGTGAGTCACTTTAGGATGAGCTGCCCTTCCTTTTGGCATAGGACACTCAACAGGCAAGTTCCTGGAAAGTCAGGGTGAGGCACCTTGTAAGGGTAGGGGGAGAGAAATTCTGTGTCTCCATAGCCTGTTTCCATCATCTGTGTCCTCTTGGAGAGGGGCTTTAAATCTGACTGAAGGCAATGGAAGTATTTCCCTTGATTTCCACAGGCTTTCCATCAGTGTCATCTCCATTACACAGCTGTTTACCTCCTCCCCTGGCTCGTTAGGGATATTATTTTCTTATTCAGCTTATTTCCTTTCCTGAGGGGACGTGGAGAGTGGGAAACAAACAGACCTGGAAATGGGAAAAGCAGCATCAACAGCAAGGAATATATAAATAGTGCTATACTTGCCAACAACTTCTTAGCCAGTCGCTTGCAATCTTGCTATAGAGAAGTGCCAGCAGTACTGGAAAGTTGCATGTTGGAAACCTGTGCTGGCAGGGGGGATTATATCAGAATTAATTGCAGCCAGCCTCAGTCTCTGTGCTGTCAAAGACACACACCTCAGAGGAAAATACCATATTTGCTCTTGTAACTTCTCCATGCCTGGAGCAATGATTTCAATTCATCCAGCACTGAAAGACTTGAGTAGGTCTTAGAAAACATGAGGTACACGCTCTAGTTTTTTGGACAAAATCTTGGGTGAGGGAATGAGATGGGGGAGACACAATTGTTACCGGGTAAATAGTCCAAATGAAAGCACAGATGAGGCAAGGGGCCTGGGATAAAAAAAAAACAGCAAAAAAATGTAACCACAGTCAAGATTCAGTATTTCAGTGACAGAGGTTCCCAAACCCCTTGGCCCTGCTGGGCAGGTGTTAAGGAATGGCCCCACTGCAGCACTGCAAAGGGGGTTATGGTTTGACACTGCAAAGTGGTCAGAGGAAAAACTTGCTCACCCTGTTGCCACCTTTCTGCTCTGATGCACGCAGTGCTTCGATGACCCCTGTACTGCCAACACAACTGTTTGTGTGGCCTAGCCAAGAGCCAGATCAGAGGACAGGTGCACTTGGAAAAACAGTCCTGCAATAAATAAATAATGATTCTGAGCTTTTATTGTTTGTTTTCCAAAACTGGATTGCTCCCCCGGTTCACTTCACAGTGGGATCACACACCCACCAGAGGAGCTGGCTCCAAGGAGTGAAGGGTGGGAAAGGCTGTTAAAACCTGACACCACCATTTCTCTTGAGCCATAGCTTGGATTCAGACTTTGCAGTTTTGTATATAAGTTAACACCTATGTGTGAGCAGATGTGAAGGACTGACTATGGCGCTACTGGAGAGAGTCCAGCGGAGGGCTACAAAGATGATGAGGGGACTGGAGCACCTCTCCTATGAAGAAAGGCTGAGAGAGCTGGGCCTGTTCAGCCTGGAGAAGAGAAGACTGAGAGGCGATCTCATCAACGTGTACAAGTATCTGAAGGGGGAGTGTCAAAAGGATCAGGCCAGCCTCTTCTCCGTGGTGCCCAGCAACAGGACAAGAGGCAACGGGCACAAACTGAACCACAGGAAGTTCCATCTAAACCTGAAAAAAAACTTCTCGACTGTGAGGGTGACAGAGCATTAGAACAGGTTGCCCAGAGAGGTAGTGGAGTCTCCTTCACTGGAGATATTCAAAAGCCATCTGGATGTGATCCTGGGCAATATGCTCTAGAGGACTCTGCTTGAGCAGGGGGGTTGGACTAGATGATCTCCAGAGGCCCCTTCCAACCTAAACAATTCTGTGATTCTGTGACTAGGTTAGTAGCTAGGGTCATCTACGCCTGATGGCTTAGAAGTTGCGAGGTCCTAGGGTCCAGAGGGTGTAGGAGCAGCCCAAGGAGGTTATCAGTCATAGGTCATGCTGGTAACACAGATAAATCTGGATTGAGCTCTCATATAGAAGTTATAAACCTTCATTTCTCTGGGTATGTTCTCCAGCTGCTGATCCTGCCTGGCATGGCCATGCAGGGAGCCTGAGCCAGTGTGCAAAAGACAGCAAAGACTCCCAGTGCCCTGCATTTGCCCTCAGTGAAGCAGATGAGCTGATGGGCTAATTTAAAGTCAATTTAGGGCTCTCTGTTGACCCTGCTGGAGCCAAGGGCTCCTTCTGAATAATGAGGCCAGAGACAGGAGCCGAACCTTGATCATCCACCCTGGGACACTGGGGCAGGGCCACCCCCAGGGCAGTTTGGATGGGCTCTGGATGGGAGGGGAGGGTTTCCCAGCCTGACTGGGTAGAGCACTGGGAGAGATGGAGTCAAGGATTACTGAGGATGTGAGCAGAAAGCCAGAGAGAGGGAGACTGCAGCAGCTGAGAAAATATAACTACAGGAGGCAGATTTTTCACGGATAACAGGGCTGGATGCATCCATGCAAGCTTGCAGCCAGAAGGGGTAGATGCAGGGAAACACTGCCTCATCCCATCCCATCCCTGGGAGGATACTCTGGAATAGGGAGGGGGGGTCAGGTCCCCATCCCATGCAAAGCCACCCAAGGGTCCTTCTGCAGGCAGATTGCAGCAGCTCCAAAGTTGTTGAAAGCATCTGACAATTGACTATATATTTCATTGTGCTCCCTGGGTGCTGGAGGGATTCTTTACATAGCAGGACACAAAGCTCCTGGAAAAGTCTGAGGCGTTGTGCAGAGCTGCACCTGGCTCAGTCTATAGCAAACCTGTCTTGGTTTTTTACTGTGAATCAGGAAGGAAGGAAGGAAGGAAGGAAGAAAGAAAGAAAATATGTCGTTTCACATTCAAACTTTTAGAAAGAATCAAAAGGCATTTTGATGTGAACCATCCTTTTGAATCAAGAGAAAGGAGTCACTTTATTTTAAATATTTTTTGTTAATAAGAACAAAATTGTCCTGGCTCCTTTGAAATGTCTGTTCACTTCCTCCATTTACAGATCCCAGAGCCAAGAAAGAATCGCACCAAAAACAGTAAATATATATATAATATCACTGTGGCTGGGAAGGGTTTCTGCTGGGCCACCTCCTGGCTGTCCTCACCCACATCCCTCAGTTCCCTTCCCTGGGGCCATGCCAGGTGGATCACAGACCAGAGCATGTCCCTGGGATCTCCTTCCTCCAGCCCAAGGGAGCTGCGTAGACTCTCATACCTGCTTAGAAGAGAGGTAGTTTGCTTCAGGGCAACTGGACCTGGGCTCAGGAGCAGACACAGAGTAAGCAGGAAGGAAAAGGACAGAGGGAAAAGGAATGAAGGAGGCTTGGCTGTTTCCCGACTCTCCAAAGGCTGGCCCTTCAGTGTCTGTAATCTGTGCCCTGACAGCTTTGCAGAGGGCAGTTCTGAAACCTTGAAATGGCAGCATCAGCTATGTTATCCTTGGGCTGCCACTGGATGTGAAAATCCCCTTTCTGTCCCCTGAACGTCACCGGAGCAGGGTAAGAGATCATAGGCCAAGCCAGCCCACAGACTATGTCACCAGAACCAGGGGAACTGGATCCATTTGCATTCAGCAAAGGGTCTGCAAGCTTTATTCGATCCAGCTCTTGCAGGGCCAGGCGAATGTCTCTGCACCAGATTCCCACTGCTCGGATGACCAGCATTTGCTGTTGTTAGGCATTTCCTGCCTGTTGGATAAAGGACAGCTGACTGCATGATCAAAGCCCTACCAAAGCTGAAATCCAGTGGTAAATCTCTGCTGGCCTGACAGCTTTCAGTTTTGACTGCTGGTCTGGTCCCACATGGGCTGCCTCTGTGTTT